ATACGCCCGTCGCAAGAGAAGCACGCAAATGCACACACACACACACACACACACACACACACACACACACACACACACACACACACTTGTACGCTCGATCATACAAGTACAATGTATTTCGATTACACGTACAATGTAGTAGTGAAGAATTCACATCAGAGACATTATTAAGTTAAAACGTCTCTCTCTATGCCTGCCACTGTGCTGCATAAAAAAACTACAGATAGAAGATAGACACGTACAAGGATAATTGTAAAGTATACATTATATAATACACGTACATGTACATGTAGCCGAGGGATATTCCCAGAGAGTGAAACTAGCGGATGAAATGGCAAACGAGAGTCTCAACTTTTAAAGTAGAGTGGGTGGGTGTGCAGACCAGCGTAGGTCATAACAAATAATATTGATAATAAAGTGTAACCAATGCCGGCAATGGATAATGTGTGAGCGACCAAAGAGGCGTACATTGTCCTGTACCACCATAAACACACACACACACACAAAAACACACACACGCACACACAAAAACACACACACACACAAAAACACACACACACACACACACACACACACAAAAACACACACACACACACAAAAACACACACACAAAAACACACACACAAAAACACACACACACACAGACCGATTGATCTATCATGCTGCAGGAATCCCTCATATATCTCATCCTGTGGTACATATCCCTGGGAGAATTGCAAGGACCTAAATACGGCAAGCAAATCGAGGGACAATAGGTGCAAGCCTCGTTGTTCTAGTTGTCTAGACTGCACTGGGTTCTTGAAAATACTGAGCCTCCACGTTGTATCTGTGTGGCATGTGGCATCCGTTGATCTCGTTTGAGCAGTAGTAGGCATGCACTGCATAATGTTTTGATGACAGGTTCGATAGCTGATGAATGGGTTTATCATTTGACTTCCTGTGTGGGTATTGCTTCTGTGGATTGGTTTGGAGCAATGTTCAGATAGTCCAGGGCATCTGGCCAATATATAATGGCAGTCCAAGCTAGTTGAATATCCGGATCACTTTTTCTCATCTGGTCTACACTCCATCCGCTTGCATCCATAAGCAATGCAAACGCATTGTCCCTTGCACAGGCGCGTGACTTCTGCTGGCAATTCCGGGAGAGCAAACAATGGCAGAGCGAATATTCCCGTGAAGTTACAACATGATCTGAGTATAATCGTAGAACATCAAGTCTTGACACTACTTGTGACATGATCAATTCTGCTATGCTCTAATGCAGACTAGCAATAAGAGGCATTTATCAGATACTAGTAACCATGAGGTACTGAGACGATTCTTTTTAGCAAACCACCCACTCCTCTATAAATGCTCAAATAATCTGTCATCTGCCTGCTCCAATTTCCTCTTGACAATTGGAAATTGCTGGCGTTGTCTGAGCCATAAACACCATTATTGGCATTAATCCAACGCCTCCCTTGCTCCCCATCTCTGCAGCTCGTAACGATAGGTTTGGCACATCGAAATCTAAATCTAAAACTAACAAACTTGAAGCTCTTATTAGTTCAAGCTACATTTTCAGAGCCAGGAAGTTGCAAATGGCAAGAAACCCAGCTTCTCTTCACCATTGGCATCACGAGCTATGATCATTATCAGCCAGCAATGTTACTAGAGGAAAGGCACTGGAGTGAACAGAAAGCTTTCCAAGCACCAACGTTACTTTCTCAGCAAGAACAAATAAAAAGAAAGGAACAAAAAAGGAGCAACACCTGGGATTTGTCTATCCGGTACCCGGGTGTGTGTAGCCCCTGGCAAGGCGAGGCACTGCCACAGATTCCAGTACAACGGCCACGGACAAGTGTCCCACTGAGATGCGGTCGCTCGTCCGGACCGCTCCGACGCGGACACCTGCGAAGAGCAGCCTGTGACGTTTATTTTTATGACAGAAAACTGCAAAAAGAGTTGGGCTTGTCCTTTTAGTCCTACCCCTATGGGCATGGGAGAGAACGCCCACTCGTTCCGTTGTGACAGATTCCAGGGCCACGTTGAGGGCCCTACCCCACCACCCGTGGCTGCTTCTGGACTTGTTTTAGGTTTGGATCCCGCGCACGGACAGAATGGGGACGAAAATGTGAAAAATTGTAAATGCCTTTTTTTGGCTTCCGGCTGGCTCGAACACCGTGGTACTATGCCGAAATTTTGAGTTTTTCCGGCCTGGAAAGCCTGTCAATGAGGCGCATGAACTTTTAAATCAAGTTCAGAGGGCCAGCATAGTGGCAGGAGTTTGTGGTCAACATTTCACTCAAATCCATTGAGAGACACCAAAGTTACGGTCAATTGAATGCCATATGAAATTTTTGGGTGATATGCCACCTTTTAAAGTTTCATGCTTTCACTATCATCAGGCAAGGTTGCCTGATGATAACTTGATTAAGGTGATAAATAGTATAATCAAAGCGGACATTAGGAAATGATCAATGAAAATACATGTACATGTATGTAAGAAAAGAGAGAGATTGGAAGATTTGTTACAACTCTGAGTTTCACCTATTACTACCATCATCAGACAACTGATGGATCCAAAACGGGCAGGCAGAACATAAGGGGGAGCAAGGTGGGAAATTCTGGGGGGTATCATAGGCGACGCGTATCATAGCGGAAGAGTCAGGTGCAGGCGTGAAGTTGCCAAGTCTTCAGACTTGGGGCTATGCAGCAGCAGTTCCGGCGCGAATGATAATAGAGCTGGGGACTTTTAAAATGCCACATCCACACATGCCAACACCATTACACACAAATGCACCCACACTCTCTCCCTTTTCTCACATACACATACACTTGCACGCGCATACACGCACGCACACACATACACACATTCTCTACATATATCTCTCTCTCACATACACACACACACACACACACACACGCACGCACATATGCATTCTCTAAACCCCCCCCCCAGACCTCAGACATGCCCATCGCGGAAGCGATGATAGCGAACAGCTATGTTAGACATAGCAACTTGTGCTGGGATTACACCATTCAACAGCTTGCAAGGCTGATGAATCGACCGCCACTATTTTTAGCCTGGTATCCACCACACAGCTGATTGAAGTGACTTTTTCTGGCCAGTGAATCCCTCTGCATTTGCAGATTTGCGTGCTTCTCTTGCGACGGGCGTATACATTGTATACGCCCGTCGCAAGAGAAGCACGCAAATCTGCAAATGCCCTGGATGTGCACCCACAGATTTTCTCTTATAGCAACGATAGCGAAAAAGATCTGAATGAGACAGATCAATACTTGCGCCAGATAACTGTCTAATGGACCGTATGCGTGTTAAAACAAAATGGCGTCACGATTTATTGAAAGTGGTATAGTTGGTGGTACGAGTGTTCAAAACCATTAAACTTCATACTGTTCGTCTTCTTTTTGACATTCTCTCTTTCCATCGTCCTTAGCTTTTGTTTGTTGTGAGCTGTTTTGGCTTTATCCTCTACCTCTGGGGGATGCCAAGTGATGGTTTTGAGAGGCTGGTGTTGGCTGCGAGCGAGAGTTTGCCGATCGCCATCGTCCTCGCTATAGCGATGAAAATACTAGTTACTGCGCACCTGGCAGATATCACAACACGTCGGGGCGTCGGGGCGTCCAGGAGCAAAGGAATCTTGGGTTTTCACTGGAATCTAGTTCCTCCAGCATCGTATAGCCCACCATCGATGGATGACCGTCCAGAAACGTTGAACCTGGTCTTCTGCAGCATCTCGCAGTCCCATTCAACAGCTTCCAAAGCTGAAGAATTGGCCACCACTATTCAGCCTGGTCTACACCACACAGCTATGAAGTGGCTTTTTCTGGCCAGTAAATCCCTGCTTTTTGGTCTTTTTATTTTTATTTATTCACACGCACACTCACACACACACACACACACACACACACACACACACACACACACACACACACACACACACACACACACACACACACACGTCTGGTCCTGGTCCTGGTAAACACTGCCATTGCGGTCACGTGTCCCCTTACCGGGCCGACAATATAGAACGACGAGCGGGACCATGTTCGAGAGAGCCATCTCCAGCGGCTATTATTATTATTGCAAATAACGCTGAGTAATTACACGAATGCATAAAACCAGCATTTGCTTCCGGGAAGGATTCACAAACATAAGACAAAAAACACCATGGCTCATTGTAACTGCACATACGAAAAGCAGCTTCTATTGTCAAATTCGAGTGGCAATGTCAGAAAGACGGTAGCATGTTCGTGCACGATGTTCACCCTGCAGGGGATAAGTCAAGGACGCGGCTCGGCAGAGGAAGATGAGTGCCGCGGGGTGCCATTCCACCGTGACTTATCCCCTGCCAACTGCCGCAGCTGATTAAGGCCTCTAAGCGTGCCCAGGCGAATGCCGAGTCGGGCTAGGCAGTCCTGAGAAAGCAGCTATGGATCTGGCTTATCATCGGAAACGATTCCTCTCACGGCTGCCGCTAGAACTGGTCCATCACTCTCCACGACAGAGCGAACATTCCATGAGCCAACGCTCAGAGTCGTTCCAAGTCGTCGTCTTCTTGCGGTAGTTTGCTCCACTCGCGGGCTTGCAAGTGCGACCGAGGGCAATGGTCATCGGTTGTGTTTGACCGGGGTGCTGTGGTGACTGGCGTTAGCAAAGCCAAGAAGGTGCCCCGTGGGGTCCAGGTGGCAAGAAACGACCAGGACGGTACCCTCGAGCTTGGTGACGCAGTGGTTCGCTGGAAGGAGAGCTGTCGCTTCTGGGAGGTTGAGTGGAAGTGGACGGACAAGAGTCCTGCCCACCTAGGCTCTGGCATTGGCGAATACTCCCGCGGCAAGCTGTCTGCTGATCAAGTCAAACATTACGAGGCGGAAGTAGACGCGTGGATAGAGAATGGATGGTTGACTCCACATGATGCGACGGTTCAGTTGGCGCAGTGTTACCATTAATAGCTGTCTGCCAGGAGCACAAAGCCAGCACGCCTGTTCGTCCCGTTATGGACTACCGGGACCTCAACAAGGCAATTGACTCGAACCCTGGTCCAGATGTGCCGTCGTGTGATCAGAAGCTGCGAGATTGGCGCCTCCCGGGCCAGGAGCAGGTTATCGTGGACATCCGCAAGGCCTATCTTCAAGTCCGGCTGCATCCATCGCTACTTCCCTATCTGGCTGTGGTGTGGCCAGAGAAACTGTACGTCATGACACGTATGGGTTTCGGTCTGGCAGTTGCGCCGAAGGTCATGAATGCCATTGTCAAGTTTGCGACGCTTGACTTTCCGCAAGTCGACAATTATGTCGACGACTTGTTTGTGCCTGAGGAGGAAGCAGAGGCGGTGAAGTCCAAGTTGGAACACTATGGTCTGCCAACTAAGCCTGCAGAACCATTGGCTCAGGCGCGGGTGCTTGGGTTGCAAGTGAGCAAGCGTGACGGCAACCTGGTGTGGAAACGATGTGACGGCGTCTCGTTGTCGTGTCCGAAGAATCCGACGAAGCGGCAGATCTCGAAGTGGTGTGGTGCCCTGACTGCTCACTGCCCGGTCTGCAAGTGGCTTCGACCGGCGGCCAGTTTCTTGAAACGTATGGCGAACTTGTCAACCGACGGGTGGGACGACGCTGTTCCAGACTGTGTCGCTACTCTCTGCACGGAATTCGAGAAGCAGGTCGGTTGTGCTGATCCAGTGTCCGGACGGTGGAGTATCAACACTGCTGATTCTGCTGCTTGGACTGTGTGGTGCGACGCCTCAGACACAGCCATGGGCGTGGTGCTCGATGTGGATGGTGTCGTGGTGGAGGACAAAGCCTGGCTGAGGCCCTCAGACGACAAAAGACATAATAACGCAGAGCTGGATGCGGTAATCAAAGGCCTGAACCTCGCCTCGCACTGGGGCCTGCAACGACTCGTGGTGAAGACCGACTCCAAGACAGTACACAGTTGGTTGGTCTCTATGCTACAGGATGTCGAGCGAGTGAAAGTTGGCGGCCTCCACGAGCTTCTCGTGCGGAGGAGAGTGCAGATCATCCAAGAAATTGTCAAAGTCGCTGGGATGGAGGTGATAGTCGCCTGTGTACCATCTGCAGAGAACCGAGCTGACCCGTGTTCCAGTTACATGGCTGGCATGTGCCAAGACTCTCAAGAAGGCAGAAGTACCCGGAGCAGCTAGTGTTGCCCTGGTGATGTCCAGCCAAGGCCCACTCTCACCAACAGTGATTAAAGAGTCACAGCAAGAAGATGAGACAATGCAACAGGCTATGGCGGTCCTGTTGAAGAATGATGGTCAAATGCCCGATGAGTATATGCATGTGCAGTCCCAACTGCAAGTCGCCGATGGCATCCTGATGCGAAGTGTGAAGGTACCACCGAATGAAATGGTTGTGGTGCCCCTGTCATCCCAGGCAAGCTGGAGATGGCAGTGATGAAGAAGACTCATGCTAGGACTGGACACGAGTGCATGTACCGAATGCTGCGCAGCCGATACTATTTCGTGAAGATGGCCACCAAGTGTCAGTCGTATGTGAGCAATTGTAACATGTACCTGGCCTGGCCGTTCGACATCCCTGGCACCTGGTACCCATCACCATAGAAACATGACGCGAAAGTGTTGCACGAATTATCTAGAGCATTTCAACATTCTGCCCGACAGTCAATATGGCTTTAGGCAAGGAAGAGGCACGTGCGACATCCTCACTGCATTGCACACTGAGTGAGTCAAGACTGTCAGCGATGGAGGGTACGCTCACATGGTGGCGGTGGACAAAGCAGGAGCATTTGATCGGGTAACACACTCTGGACTGATTTTCAAAGCCAAGAACGTTGGCATTGGCGGCTGCCTGCTGCACTGGCTGCAGGATTACCTCCTCAACCGCGAACTATCAGTCCTGGTCCACGGTTAATCACCCTTCCCGGCGCCCATAACAGCAGGTGTGCCCCAAGGCAGTATCCTTGGCCCGACTCTTTTTCTCTTGTTTGTGTCTGACCTGGATCAGTGCCTGACTCCCGAGACACGACTAAGTTCATTTGTAGACGACATAACCCTCTACAGCGTCATCCGCACCCAGGACAATATAAATGACATGACTGCCGCCTTGCAATCCAGCCTCAAGCGTCTTGAAGAGTGGGGAGAACGCTGGCGCATCAGATTCGAGCCCTCTAAATCGCAACAGCTGCTGCTGATGACTGCGAAAGCCACACACCCTGCTGTCCCTGACATCAAGTTTGGAGGTATCGCGGTTCGGGAAGCCGACACCATCAAGCTTCTTGGAGTGACATTTGAGGCGGAGCTGTCATTCCGGGATCACTTGCACTCAATTGCGACACGTGGCTGCCAGAGACTGGGTGTTCTCCGTCAGGCTTGCCGGATGTTAGATTACCATGGCCGCCTTTGTGCGTACAAGGGATTTGTGCGACCCATCCTTGAGTATGCTCCCCTTGTGTGGATGCGAGCTGCATCCAGCCACCTCGCCCGACTCAACGTGTGCAGTAACGTGCAATGGCCATTACTTGCCCTGGTGCCCTTCTCCAAAGCCTGTACCACCGCCGGATTGTATCTGGGCTGGTATACCTGTACAAGCTCCAGTGCATCCCAGGACCACCCCAGCTCACCGCCATGATCCCCCTCCAGCCAACCATGTAGAAGCTCGGCGCACCCGGAGTCAACCCCCTCCTGGCCAGCAGCACCATGTGCAGCTGCAGCAAGTCCTGGACTGGAGAGCACCTGCCTATGCTTCTCGCTCCTTCCCGTTTTCTGTAATCTCAGTATGGAAAAGCTTGCCAAGAGAAATTGTAAGGGCTTCACTCAGCTTGAAGGGGCTCCACACGTTCAAAGAAGATGTCCATAAGTACCTCACGCACCAACACTGGCTGATGGCTACCGACTTCTACGGATGAACTCTTGACTGTGGCACGGGTCATGTTCCTTGGTTCGGCTATGCTGATAATATTGGGCTTCATTTACCTGTTATTATTAGTTCGTTTTGTTTGTTATGATTTCCTGGTTTTCCACCCGGTTTAGTTATAATTAAGATTATTATTTGGTGCAGCTTTAGCGCTATGTGGTTTATGATTTCCCTTTTTCTTAAGTTCGTATTTTGCGCTTTTGGGCGTCATTATTTTCTTCTCATTATTTCGCACCAAGTAATTATTTCTGTCACACCGGGTATTCTCTAGCTTCTGTTTGTTTTGCAGTTGTTCTTGTGCACCCCCCCCCCCCCCCAAACCCATTTTTCGATGCCTAGTTGCAACGCTGACGCCGAGACCTCTGGTCGGTTGAGTTGCTCCCAGCACATCAGCACGTCGTCCCTACATCCCCTATGTTTTGTCCTTTTCCTCGTTTCTTTTTGTTCTCCACCTGTTTTCCAGTAGGGCTGCATCAATATTAAAAAACAAAAAACAAAACAAAAAAACGCACTCAGTCCATGTACATGTACATGTATGATTGTCAGTCGTGCAAGCTGACAAAGCGCCATCACGTGATTGTATTGTGTGGTGCCTGAGAAGAACAGGACGTAAAGCATGTGTGACTAGCTGTAATCCTGGACTAGATCACATACATGACTACATGCCTGGGAATATGCTGGTTGAAAGAACAAACAACAACAACCACTCCTAGTCCTCATGATCATCCTAAATAAATCATTGACACAGACGGTGAAGAGAACAAGTTGCCCAAACACTGCCATCAGAATCAAATAATTACTTGCCTCCGTGTTCTATTGTAAAAAGCATTGAGAAAAAAAAGAAGTATTGACACATTTGAAATTCAGAGTTGCTTTAGAAAACGTATTCATACCGTAGTCATACATGTGTAGCGGGCCGCAGTCTCTCTCTGAGGCAAATGCACACGGGTCTCAGTGAACACACTGTAACTGGCAATTGAAATGTACTGGCAACGAAATTAACTAACTGGCAACTAAATTAACTGATTGGAAATAAAAGAATCGTGAGCAGCAGCTTTTATGCAAAGGCAGACTCCGTACGCTAGTGTACGGGGATACGCTAACGTATGGGGATACAGTACGGGGATATGCTAACGTACGGGAATACAGTTAAACGTACGGGGATATGCTAACGTACGGGAATTTTTTTTTTTAACAGGCGGTAATTTTTATTAACTCTCAAAATAGAAATGAAAAACGTAAAATGTTTGGCACCTATGAAGTCAGGGGATGGCCCACGCCTGGTAAAAAAACAATGAGGAGTTAAATACAAAGAAAAGGAACTGAAAATACAAAAGTAAATGAAACACCATTACCAAAGAAACTGTACTGTATCATGTACACCGTTTATGGCACCAGGGCACATTCAGCAGCTGCCAGCACAGCCGAACCAGACAGATGTCGAGGCGGGTTCCGACGGTGACCACGTAGACTGGCAACCATTGCTCGAACAAGGCAAAAGGAGATCTTCGCCCGTACAAAAGCCATCATAACCGGGAAAGGTTCACGGCGCTTTTCACACAGCTTGCTGGCAATCCTGGCAAAGAGTGCCGAAGCAGCTTTCCCCTGGCCGCCAGTGGTTGCAAAAACCACGGGTACAAACGAGGAATGCTCCACCTCCAGGACTCGCCGTTCATACTTACGCCTCTTCTCCTGCTCGTGCTTTCTGTAGACAGACGGGAGAGTAAGGTTTCGGTTGGAGGGGACAAAAGGGTTAAACACCCGAACATCAAACATTGTCCTCTCTAACCTACTCCCATACACTCCACGTGCTGCCACATCAAGACGAGCATGAGCCTCCGTGTTGGCCGACCGGAGAGGGAATGTTTCACCAGAGAGGGGTTCCAACTCTGGCTCCACGCTGACGTCATGCGCAACCTCACGCAACAGATTAGCGGTTAGATCCCGGAGCTCGTTGTGGCGCATCCCAGTGAATCCTCCGATGGCACATGATAGGGCATGGGTGGTGTCGAAGGGTTTTCCACAGGTGCAGTGAGACGGCAACCGGGGAGGGGTCCAGCCGTAGCGCAGACATAGGGCATCCCGGAAGCCAGCCTTGTGGATGGTAAACTGGAACCGGCGAGATGGCCGACTAGTGAGCCAACTGGAGGCACCTTTCTCTGCGGCTAGATCCAGAGTCCGCCTGTGGTCGTCACTCAGGGTATCCCTGAGGGAGGAGAGGGCCATTGCCTGATCTTGGCGACGTACGGGAATACAGTAACGTACGGGAATACAGTAACGTACGGGAATACAGTAACGTACGGGAATATACTAACGTACGGGAATACGCTATACGCTACACCTCCCCTCTCAAATACAATCACGTCCTCGTGATTAGTAGCGGTTTGGTGGGCGGATCAATTGGCGGTTCCGGAGATTGTAGGGGTGAACAGGAGGGGGAATTACAGGGGCAGGAGGTAGCGGCTGAGGGAGTGGCGGAGGGAGCGGCTGAGCAGGGTGGGGCATTACAGGGTGAATGATTGGAGTGTAAGTGGTCGGAGGTGGAGCAACAGGTGGTAGGCAGACATACTGTTTCAGGCGGTTGATGTGAACAACTTGACGGCGTTTCGTTCGGGAAGCCTCGATGCGGACTGTGATATTGTCGAGAACAGTGACAACTTGGTGGGGTCCTGTCCATGGAGAATGGAACTTGGGAGACTGGCCAGCGGGAACAACAGGAGAGTGCAGGAATACCAGATCGCCTACGGCATACTGCGTGGGCGGAGCGTTGCCATCATAGTTCCTCTTCTGACGTTGTTGGGCTTTGGCACCGTGGGCTCGGGCAGTGGTGAATGTCTTACGCAGGGAGTCTTGAAGTTGCAGGACATAACGCGGGGCAGTAGTGGGTGGTGTAGCAGGAGGTTGACCGTACACGAGATCGATGGGCAGAGTTGCTTCTCGGCCAAACATCAGACGGAAAGGTGTAAACGATGTGGTGTCATTCACGCTCATACGGTAAGCTAATAGAGCACGTTGCAGATAGCGGTCCCAATCTTGGTGATCATTGATGGTTGTGGCGAGGATGCGCTCCAGTGTTCTGCTAAACCGCTCGATGAGGCCGTCACTCTGGGGATGGTAGGGCGTCGTTCGAGTTTTGTGAATATCCAGCATCGCACAGATGGACTTGAACAGGTTGGACTCGAACTGGGCACCTTGGTTAGTGTGCAGACTATGCGGTGCACCATAGCGACAGACGAAGCCATCAACGAAATACCGGGCGACTGTCTCG